ATTGTATTCCTAGTGGCCAGAACATAGTAGCTGTTCAGTAAATACTTGTTGAATGCATGAATGCATGAATGAATGAATGAAAGGCAGAACCTCACATTAGAGTAAAATTATCATATGTTATTCAATTATCTTGTGCAGTAACTTCCCAGGTATTTTATGGGTCTCCTTTTCAGTGGGCTTATAGGTGACAAAAAGTTGTTGCAGTGATACAATATTTATTAAGTGCTTCAGTTAACTGTTAGATTTAATGCTCATTCATGGAAGAAGGATATGATGCTACTGATAGGAAAGTTTTAAATTTGATACCAGCCAGTTGACTTTTCAGCTGGAGCTCTCTGCCTTAAATTGAGCTGCATCTAGGTTAGCCGTTTTCACTCATTGTGGTGGGCACGTGGTTCAGAGGGCAAGACAGACTAAGAGAGGGGTTAAGAATAACTTAGAACAAACTACAAGAATTCTAGGGACACATGACCCACCAAACTCCTTTTCTAGTGAAAATAAGACCCAAATGTGTGGAAAGTACAGGGAATATGAAATATAGCAGTAGAGGAGGGGGTGACATAACCAGTAGTATTTAATCTGAAGTAAATGGATTTCATTTCAAAGAGCAAAGTATGGTAAAATTGATGATAAATTTTTATTCTGAAGTGTCTTTTCTGAAGATCACAAAAATAAGTTTTTAATTCAATATTTTCAATCCAGTTTTTGCTCTGTTTGTTATTAGGGATTTTTTGAATAAACAATCCATGCAGAACTCTGGACTCTGCCCTGCTATTTTCTACCTTGCAGTGTGGTCAACCAGAAAGGATTTCTTCCCTGTATTAAAGGCTAGCAGCTTAGAAAGATGGTACCTACAGCCTGATGTATCATATGCTTCCCAGAATCTTAAAAGGTTATGATGAATCATTACAAGTGAAATAACCCTAGACAGAGAACACAGAAGGCTGGGTCATGTTTGTTTTAGCCTTCCGAGAGCACTCTTCATCTCGTTTACATGTTCTTGAGAGGGTGCCTTCCGTACTATAATGAATGAGCCTTCCGGACTGCCAGGCCTCCCACTGCCTTACCACACAGCAGCTGTTTCATCAGAGGGCCTGGGCATTTGGCTTACCTTTTAATCACAAGCCACATTATCTGTTGCAGGTGTATAAAAACAAACTACCTCTCAAATATGGCTCTTCTGTGTTTCTGCTTATTTTTTATTGTGTGAAATATGACTCTACTTTTTAACCTAACACATATGGATTCATTTTCACATTGACCATAAATGATCAATTACTTAACTTTTATCTATTTTTTCCAATTTTTTTATTGTGGTAAAATGTGCATAACAAAATTTACCATCTTAATCATTTTTAGTTGGTTTTTTAAATTAAGGTATTATTGATATACACTCTTACGAAGGTTTCACATGAAAAACAATGGGTACTACATTCACCCATATTATTGAGTACCCTCCTTACCCCATTGCAGTCACTGTCCATTAATGTAGTAAGATGCCACAGATCCACTATGTGCCTTTTCTGTGCTACACTGTTCTCCCGGGATCTCCCACACCATGTGTACTAAACATAATGCTCCTTAATCCCCTTCTCCCTCCCTACCCTCCCACCCTCCCCCATATACAAATGTAAACTCAATGGATCAAAGACCTGAATGTAAGTCATGAAACCATAAAACTCTTAGAAGATAACATAGGCAAAAATCTGAATATAAACATGAGCAACTTTTTCCTGAACGCATCTCCTTGGGCAAGGGAAACAAAAGCAAAAATGAACACATGGGACTACATGAAGCCAAAAAGCTTCTGTACACCATCTTAATTTTTAAGTGTACAGTTCAGTGGTATTAAATACATTCATGATATTGTACAATCATTATACCACCCATATCCAGGATTTTTTCATTTTGTGAAACTGAAACTATATCTATTAAACAATAACTCTTCTAATATCTTTGCATTCTTACCTCTAGTCCCTGGGAACCTGTCTATGATTTCGATTATTCTTAAGTATCTCAAATAAGTGGAATCAGACTTAATAACTGACTTACTTTTTGTGATTGGTTTATTTCATTCACCATAATGTCCTCATGGTTCATCCATATTGTGGCATATTTTTTGCATGCATTTATAGCATAGTCAGAATTTCCCTCATTTTTCAGACTGAGTAATATTCCATTATATGTATATTTATCATTCATCTGTCAATGGACACTTGGGTTGCTTCCACATTTTAGCTACAGCGAATAATGCTGCTGTAAACATGGGTGCACAAATACCACTTTGAAATGTTGCTTTCCATACTTTGGGGTATATATACCCAGAAGAGGAATTGCTGGATCATATGGTAATCCTATTTTTAATTTTGGGGGAATCACCAGTGTTTTTCACAGTGTCTGTACCACTTACATTCCCACCAACAGTGCACATGGTTCCAATTACTCCACGTCCTCAGCAACACTTATTTCCTGTTTTTGTTTTTCTTTTTTTTTATTAGTAGCCATCCAAATGGGTATGAGGTGGTATCTCACTGTAGTTTTGTATACTAGTGCAGAGAATGTTGAAGTAAAAACCCTTTACATAATTGCAGATAAGGTATGCGGATGAGTTAGGCTTTTTGCTCTGTCAGTCAGTAGCTTAGTCCACCAGGTATTTAAAGGAAAATTGAGACTATCTTCCACTGTGAGGTCCATCTGCCACTATCAATAGTGATAGAATTTATATAGTATAGTTGTTAAATTCCAAATTCAGTGAGACCTCAGATCAAATTTCACTCTGCTACTTACTAGCTATGTGATCTCAAAGACTCAGTTGCCTGAATTGTGTGGTAAGAATAATGATATTCCCCATGCCAAGGGTTCCTATGAATAAAGAAATATTAAGTGAGCTAAATCATTTAAGAGTTAAAAATGTGCCATAAAAGTCATGCACATACAAGGCATAAGATTGATGTAAGGTTGAAATAAGCTAAAGTTTATGGAGGCATGCAGTAAATTATCACGCTATGATGGTGATCTGTGGTGTGATCATTTTCCTTCCTCTGCCTCCTAATAGAGTGAGACTCTAGCAAAGTTTCTCTTTTTTGTTTCCTGTCTTAGCTTATGAAATATCTGCAAGTTGTCTCATTGTGTGTTATCAGGCATCATCAAGCATCATCAAACTGAAGCAGGCAAACTAAACACAGACATCTGAGCTCCTAAGTTATATTCCAACACTTAATCCTGAAGACAATAATAGGTTGTACATATTTCAGAAAAGAGTTAGTGTCATCCTCAGTTTACAGTGCAGGAAGAAAGCATTCATTCATGTAACAGTTATTCAATAAATGTTTATGAAGAGCCTGCCCTGCACCACAGGCCCTGCTGTCCACAGAAAGGATGAGATGAAGAAAAGGCAGGGAGTTCTGTTCTAACATTGACATTTGCTGGTAACTTCTTAGCTTTAAGTAAATCATTCATCTTCTGTCCTTTGGTTCACTCCTCTGTAAACTGAAGGGTGATTAGTTGCAGAGCACACAGCCAATATTATGCCTAAAAAACTGAAATATAGAGAGTGGAAAAAAGAAGCATTTGAAACCCCTTTCCATTCATCTGTGAGAGAGATGGCGGTCACTCTGGGAATTCTGAGACTGGGCGGTGGGAAGAACAGTTTGTTGGTGAAGGCCAAGGTGAGCACTGGGTGGGTAGAAGAATTTGAGTGAGTTGGGTAGTCAGGGTAGGAGTAGGAGTGAGATAAGACCACCAGCTTCCAGAATGGGAGCTTTCAGACTTGGATAATTATCAGGGATGAACAAGGAGATAGATCTGCGTTAGTATTTAGAGAATTTTAAAGTTAAAGTTATTATGGGTCAAATGAATTTTTGTTGGATGATAAGATATCTCAGATTTTGTTGATAAGCCTGAAAGTAGATGCTGGTTCTATGTTGGGTGATTTAGCACTTTTTTTTTCATCTTGGATTTTGTACATTTGTGTGTGTATAGTTTTCAGCTTGCCGTGAAACATATTAAGCATATGTGAGAGCAATAATAAACTAAAAGACAAAGAAAAAGAAAATTAATCATATAATATTCATGCATGGAACTGAAATGGGCTGAGGGGGAGTCCTGAGAGGAAGTGAATTAACACACATTAAATTCATGTGAGTGCTGGGCCCTGGAAACTTTCATATCCACAAAAGAACCTCATTCTGGCAATGCATGGTGAGGACTGAGATCTGAGTACTGAGGCACAGGGAGAATAAGCAACTTGTCCAGGGTCAGGGGATGACCATGGGGGTGAGGTCAGGTTTGAAGTGTGGAGGGTGTGAAGTTATTCTTCTCTCAGAAACCCTGTCAGACTCAGCACCCCTCACTTTCTCAGTTTGTTTATCTTTAGAGAATGGTCTCTGCTTGAGAAGGCGAAAATCTGCTTTCCTACATCTGACACAGTGTTAGCATTATCCAAAGATATTCCAATGTGGGGCACTTGGGTTCAGGTGTAGGCATGTGAGGTTTCTACTGTCATCCTGTGGGGGCCGCTGGAGCTGGCATGCCATCAAACTTGCTTACCCTGCTTAGTCAGGAACACCGTGGCAGTGTGGATAAGGATCCCCAGTCCCACTGCCATTTGGACAACTGTCCAGTGAGAATAGGCTAACCACTTCCCAGAGGAATATCTTTTTGAATATGCATAGTTGCATAGACTCACGGAATTTCAGAGCCGAAGAGAGCTTAGAAATTGGGTTTTTGCTCAATCGTTCAGTCTAGATTAGGGAACAGTTCGGGCAAAAGTTCATTTGTGGCCCTCCTGTTCTCCTGTATTTAAAATTTCCCTATCTGTGGCACGGATGTATGATTAAGCAGTGTAACCAATTCCTGAATTTGTAATTTATGAAGCCGGGAAAAGGGCATTTATCATTTGAATCATCACAGAAACATGTGTCAGAGTTAGGGAGGGAAAGATTTCTTCTGAAAATTCTGTTCTAGGCTATTTAAGATGGCTGTCTTTGCCCACTCTGCAGGTTTGTCTATGCCTCGTCGATCCCCAATCCTCCCAGTCCTACTGAACTCGGAAGTACCAACCGCGAAGGTTCTGTTTGATGGTTCCCATCAAGGATAAAACTGAAAATAGGAAGCCTTCAGTTGCTGACTGTGAGATAAACTTGCCTAAGCAGCCTGCCAAAAGCAGCAGATCATATGAAAAGCCACATGACTAACCAGAAATAATTGGAGCTTAAAAGATGCCAGAGTCGATGAGTAAGATTTCTTTCAACAAAAGATTTACTTAAAGCAAATTCACCCACTCACAAGTTCTTGAGTGCCATCATCTTTTAACCTTGGGACATTTCACTTGCTCTGGTGTGGTTTCATTGACACAGAAATGTCAGCCTTTAATGGCTATAACTAGTTGTCTATTTATTTCTCTGTTCAATATATCTTCAAAGTTTACTGTGTGCTGCCTGTGCTTCAAGATGCAAATAATACTTCATGCAAATTTTTCTGATTTCCTCCAGTGTAATGTTATTTTTCCCTTTCTCAAAACCTGGTAGCAATTTGTTCTGAAGTCTCCAAACAGACTTATGGCATTTTGCATTGCCTTGTAGCAGCTTGAAAACATGACTTACTATTCAGAACTAAGACAACTGAAGACAGACATAATGCTTTACAAATTTCTGTATGTTCTGTAGTGTGTAGTTTGACATAGAGTATGTTCTCAGTATTGTGGAAGGAATGACTGAATATTTGTTGAGTTGGAAAGAAGATGATTCAGTTTAGGCTAAGTTATGCTGCCCCACATTTCAGTAATTTACAACACAATAGTTTATTTCTCATCCATGTTAATGTCCAGTGTGAGTTATGTGCAGCTCTACTTCCCATCTTTTTTATTCTGGGATCTACGCAGGAAGAGCAGTTAATTGGGATGAACCTACATGTGGCAGGGGGGACAAAAGAGATAATAGAAACATATGATAGGCCCAAAGTGGCATAATTAAAATGCTCAAATTTCATCAGCCAAAGCTAATCATGTAGCTAAACCTCCTATGAGGGGCAGACAAGTATAATTCCCCCACAAGGAAGGCAGTGAATATCTGGGAATAATAATATAACCTACCAGAGAAGTCATCCCATTTTTAAGGAGTTTAGAATACAGTTGAGGAAGTAAGCTATACACAAATAACTAGAGGTAAGAGGAAGGAGACATTTCCTCCTTTGACTGGGGTTAGTCATACAAGGCTTAATAGAGGATGTATGCTTTAGACCAAGCATTAAAAAGCAAGATTTTGCAAGATGGAAATGGGGAAAAAGTGGTCTGGGTATATAGAAGAGTATTAAGAAAGACATAAAGGTACTCAAGCAAAAGGTGTAGTCAGGGAAAAAGGGAACAGTCTACTTTTGGTGGGGTGTCAGTTGTCACATAAAGAAATAATAGTGACCTAAATTCCAGACTAAGGAATTGAGTCTATTTAGCAGGCAATAAGCCATATGGGGTTTTGGAAGCTAACTGAAAAATGGATGAGAGGGAGCTGAAGCTGTTTATGAGGCTGCTTGAAGAGTCCAGGCAGGAAATAGTAAAGGGAGAAACAGGGAAGTGACAAGTATAATGAACACAGCAGAAACACACAGGTGAGCCACAAAGGCAATCACCCAGACTTCAAAACTGCCCAGTTTGGGGAGCAATGCAGAGAGAGAGAGAAGAAGAGGGAAAGGGAGATTGAAAAGCTGAAGATGATTGGACTTTGGTGATATCCTTAATGTAATTAGAAAAATAAGAAAGATAACTGATTTGTAGAATGGGAAAAAAATGTTTTACTTTAGCTATGCTGAGTTTGAGGAATTTCAGGTAGAAATGTTTAGTAAGCACACGTATCTATGGGAATAGAGTTTAGGATTGTGGTTGTGATTGAAGATGCCGACCTGTGAGTCCCCCTAAAATGTGGCAGTTGAAGCAGTGGATGCAGATGAGAGTATCAAAGGGGAATTGTGGCTGAAAGGCAGAGCCTTGTGGAGACTCCACATGGGGGTGTGGGAAGATGAGGATAGGCCGAGGAGGGAGGCAGGGGCACTGACAGGGAGGAGAGGAGAGGAGAGGAGAACAGAATAGTATAGGATCTCTGAGCTGAGTCGGACATGAGTCTGAGGGAGAGAGAGAAGCCAATAGGGTTATATACTTTGGCAAGCACCAGAGGATGCAAATGTAGGAACTGGTGCTGAGATTCGAAGAGGAATTCATTGGTGATGGGAAGGAAACAACTTCAGTACAGAAGGAAGATTTTTTTTTTTTGGAAAGTCTTTTTTTTTTTGAGAGGGCATCTCTCATAATATTTATTGATCAAATGGTTGTTAACAACAATAAAATTCTGTATAGGGGACTCAATGCACAGTCATTAATCAACCCCAAGCCTATATCTCAACAGTCTCCAATCTTCTGAAGCATAACAAACAAGTTCTTATATGGTGAACAAGGTCTTACATAGTGAATAAGTTCTTACATGGTGAACAGTGCAGTGGCAGTCATATCACAGAAACTTTCGGTTTTGAACACGCATCATGAACTATAAACAATCAAGTCAGATATGATTATTCATTTGATTTTTATACTTGATTTATATGTGAATCCCACATTTCTCCCTTATTATTATTATTATTATTATTATTATTATTATTTAAATAAAATGCTTAAGTGGTAGGTAGATGCAAGATAAAGGTAGAAAACATAATTTATTGCTGTAAGAGG